AAGAAGAACATTAGCCAAAGGATTACATTTCAAATACATGCTTTTTTAATGAACAAGCACAGATTTAATGCAATTATAAATGCCTCATAAGATGAGACATTAGTGACCATGTGGGACAATTCTCAAAAATCAAAATTGATCATTCTTGTCTGACTGCAGTCAAAGAAATTGCCCATGGACTGGACTGTACTTTCATAAGCTTGATTAAAAGTGAAAACTAGAGGAATGGTAAAGTAGGTCAAAAACTTTCTGACTCCTTGAGGATCAAAACATTTACTAGATACTAAGTATGTGTGAAAGGATCAGTAAGAATCTATTTGCCAGTCTTGGAGGCTAAGGAAGGAAAGACAGGGTACCCTCAACTGGAAAAAGTGATTATAATGAGAATGAAGAGCAAAGAGAAATTAAGCATGAACTTGAGCAGAGGATTTCTAAAGTGGGGATGCCTTTACTCATGACCCAAGCAAGGGAATTTATAGCTAGCAGGTCAACATGCCCACAGAAGACACAAAGCAGGTCTCATGATGGAACCAATCGGGTTTTTCAAAGCCAGCTCTTAATTGTATAATTCAAGCTTTCTACTCCTTTTGTGTTTGTTTGTTCTATTCCTCTCATCCGTATATGCACACAAGCACACTTATATCCCTATCCTTCCATAAAACTAGATATTGCTCCGCAACTTCAATTAAGCCACCTTGAACCTTTTCCCCACCACAGGAACCCCACAGTTTCATTTATAAGACAGCACTCCCTCCCATAAATTAGTTTGGTTTTGGGAAAGAAAGGGAGGGCAAAGAGGAGTCAGAACAGGAAAGAAAACTGACAATAGTTTGAGTGAGTACTATGAAAGCTGAATCTCTAGGCTCAGTATTTCCAGTTTTTGAGGAACTTGGAGAAGAAAGAAAAGAATTAAGTAGCCAAATTTGAATAAGCAAGACTTTTGACTACCTGTTCCAAGAAATCACCATAGAAATTAAGTATTCTTCATTTTTTCTTTGTTCATTGTTAAGTAACATTGTAATTCCTCAGTTCTATATACACCATCAGTTAATTAACAATTTCTGAGTGGTGAAGGAATAAAATATGGGTACATTAAATATATATACACTTATTTTAAAACACACCCCATTTCAGAAGTGTTAAATTGGGAAAAGGGGATGCTGTGAGCCAGGTGAGGCCTGTGATGGGAAATGGAGGTGAGAACACAACTCAAAATACAGGAAATCTAGTAGCTGGGTAACTCTTCTGGCTCTACTGAAATTTGACTGCCTTCACGGATAAGTGGCTTTGGGAAGGCTGATGAGTTGATGGTCACAATGAGGGATGGAGCTTGTCCTCATCTAATGACTGCCCCCTAGGAAGAAATGGAGATGGATAGGACCACTGCAGTAAATGAAATGACTCCTGGTCAAAGAACAGCTCACCTTTCAACATACAAAATCATATTATACACCTTCCCCAAACAGATCCCTGATAGTAGATCTGGGTCATTGACACAGATATATGTAAACAAAACCAGTAATTTCAAAGTTTAGTTACAGGGGCACTGAAAATATATTTTATGAAATTCCACAATGAAGATATTGTTGTTCATGAGCCACAAATATTATCTATCGTTACATGAACTTTCATTCCCATCTAAACTGTGATACCTATATCATTCTCTGGGAGTCTGTAATCTATGTTGAAAGATTTTTGACTCCTAAGTAAAATGAACATGCTCATATTTCTCAAGAAAAATCCTTGATTGTGAGGCAGAATAACATTGTGACATAGAGTTTTTTGTATTCTGATTTGATGTTGATGTACCTTGTGGTACACTGACATGTTTCATTGTAATATCTAACATTTCCATAAAGTCTCTTTTTTCTTTTAAGTGTACTTTTGAGGCTCTTTCTATAAGTAAAGGTGATAGCTTAAGAAGTTTAGCTGCCTAAAACCATGACACCACTATCTACATTTCCCTTAGTGAAGGTATTAGGCCATATCAGAACTTTAAACACCCCACCTTCACATGAGGAGTAGCTAACAGTTGCTGGCTGCTTCTACAGAGATATCACTAGAGCTTTTCTAGGTAGTACTTCCACTAAACATTGAAAAGCTCAGGAAAACTAGAATAATGAGGAAAGAAATCAGAGGAAGACCATAAAAACCCAGTTCATTTCAAGAAGAAAGCAGTAACCATCTCTCCCCACTACGTTTTAAATATCACAATGAATTTAAGTAACAAAATAAACAATTTACTGAGAGCACACTTTATATGCAACTTTAATTTCTTCCAACTGTGTTCATTACCAAGCTGTTCACTTTCTTTAGGAAGGGTGTGTTTGGGGGGGGGGGGTGTCTTTTAAAAGACTCATTTAACACAAAAGTCAATTTCCACTAATGTATTCTTCATGTGGCATATGTAGTCTTCCTAAACAGATCTATATATACAAATATTCATAGATCAGTATCTTCCTTTTAAGAACAACAATTACCCCCCAAACACATAATCTATTCATATCCATACAAAAAAATGAATATGAGAACCATATCATTTATAATACCTGCAAACTGGTTAATATTTCTGATAGAACTAATTTTTCCCTTCATTTGTATAAAAGCAGCTTGAATGGTGATAAAAATAAGTAATTACTGTATAACTAAATATTTACTTTCTAAAAAGGTGTACAAGGAGTGTTTTTCATGCATTTCACTCTCAGGAAGCAGAAATATATCCTTTCTATCAAATGTCTCCATTAAGTTCTTTAACATAGAAAGAGTTAACAGGCAATTCCCCTTCTCCCTCCCATTCCCTCCCACCTCTCTTCCCTATTTAGTGGTAATCCTCTTCTCATGCTCTTCCTCCCTACTCTATTTTGAGTCACCTCCCTTATATCAGAGAAGACATTCGGCATTTGTTTTTTAGGGATTGGCTAACTTCACTTAGCATAATCTGCTCTAATGTCATCCATTTCCCTGCAAATGCCATGATCTTGTTATACAAAATACATGTATGACGATGTGAGGGGGAAGAAAAAAAAGAGAGAGAAATGTGTCACAGTAGATTGGGTAGAGAGAGGTGATGGGAGAGGAGAAGAGGGGAGGGGGGAACAGGAAGGGCAGCAGAATAAAATAGACACTAGTATTGCTGTATGTGTAAACGTGACCGTATAACCAATGTGATCCTGCAACCTGTACACGTGGAAAAATGAGAATTCATACCCCATTTGAATCAAATGTATGATATGTCAAGATCATTGTATTGTCATGAGCAACTAATAAAAGAAAGAAAGAAAGAGTTAACAGGTAGCAGTCTTTGTTACTGAATCTGAGAAGTCCAGGGACCATGGGGTCTCACAGGATCACCAAGGGATCTGCAGGCCTTATGGACCCCGAAGCCACTTTTGTATGTGTTCAGTGAAAGGGAAAAAAAATAAGAACTTTGCATTAGTTTGTAGGAGGCCCAAGTGAGCAAGAGAGGAAGATGAAAGCTGAGGCAACTGAACTGCCTACAAAATATTCATCACAAAGTTTCCAATGAATACTTTTTTTTTTCTTGAGCTCCTCAGATCACACCTACAGGTAAACTCAGTGGGGTTTAATTAGTAAGAATGTATGTACAGTTTGTAAGAAATGGGGAAACATAAAGGGCACTACTTTACATCTCCCAAAATTCATTCTGTCCATGAAATTTAGCCAGTGGAAACAGAATACGGAACACTTACATACCCACACACAATGCACACTCACATCCAAAGCAAGCTGCTAAAACTGGTCAAAGAAAATAAGTGATATGTGTACTTAGGCACTCTTACACAGCAATGAAATAACATATTGTACAAAATGAGTATAAGATATTTTAAAATAGTATATTTTAAGATATATTTAAATAGTGAATATTAGAAAGCAAAAACCAGTTCTGATGACGACAGGTGGAAGATGAGAAATGAATTAGAATCAATGCATTCATTTTAAGTCTCTTTCAGAAAAGGAAAATTATTTAGTTGCATAGATCTGAAGTCCCCAAATATACATATTTGTTCTAATACATGACAGCAGTTCTTCAAATTAACAGTGAAAATATTTAGCTCATGAAAACATTTTGGTTGTTTTGACAGTATGGCTTGAGTGTTATGCCACCTCATTAAACCCAACCAAGTAAGGAAAGAAAAGGTTGATGAAGTCATAGCCCAGGAGTGAGGTCACCAGCTAAACCCAACTTCATAGCAACAAAAGAAGTCTGACTGATGAAAGGCCTCCGTTGGGTAGAAGTAACATCCTTTTGCCTAAATGAGTCTTTCAGGTCAGGAAAGGGAATTTGTTGGATAGACTCTTAGCTCACTCATGTGGCATGTGACTAATAGCACTCTGAAGTCTGTTGGGAAGGATATAATGATTAACTGACCATTCAATGTCCTACAAAGGTCACATTAGCAGCCCCTATCAGTGCTTCAAAGCTGAAGCACTAGAGTGTGAATCTTGAATTCTCATGAGCTCAGAGAATGCTAAAGTCAGAAGTGATCCATGACTGCTTAGAAATGAAGCCTGAGACTCCTAGCATTATCAATAACAGAGATAGGCACAAGATAACAGGGTGGGGGGGGGGTGATTTCACTGTTTTTTTAATAAGCCAAGAAAAGCAATTGAAATATAGTTATTAACTAAATTTTGGAAGTGAACACTGTTTTTAAGGGCTCAGAAGACTAGCTGAGTACAAATATTTCAAAGAAAGTACTTTTAATTTTCAAACCAATCAATAATACAGTATACCCTCCAGTTAAGCTGTCCTGAGAAGAAAGCTATTCACTAGTTTTATTTCCACTGAATCCATATCCAAAGGAGTGGGATGTTGTCTTCTTTGTACCAAAATATTATATTTGACTAAAGCATTTCTAGTCGACTCTTTAATTCATTGAGTAGAAAACTGAATATTTACTGACTTTTCTTGAAAGCCTGCAACCAGCCCATAGGAAAAGAATTTGACATCATCACACTGTGTTTCCTTAATTTGACAGGAAGTTAACTTCAAGCAGACTGACTTGAATCAGGATCTCATTTGGAAAGCATCCGTATCCAATAAACTTTTTAATTTGGAAAATACTCGAGTACCAGTGACTTATCGTCCTATACTTTTCTTTCCAAAATCCTGCAATCCCATGTGGACTTCTGGTAGAATGAGCAATGCAAAGAGCTGGCTTGGACTTGGCATGTCCTTATACTTCTGGGGATTGATGGACCTTACAACCACCGTTCTCTCAGGCAACTCAACACCACAAGGTGAATTAGAAACACTCCTGTCAGACAAGCCACAGTCACATCAGCGAACCAAGAGGAGCTGGGTTTGGAACCAATTTTTCGTTCTGGAAGAGTACACTGGGACTGACCCTTTGTATGTTGGCAAGGTAAGATGCACCCAGCAGAAAGATAAATTATCAGCATATCTGATGTAACAACTGAATATAAATACAAACTGAGTATAAATGCTCACCTAAGCCTGTGCCTGAGGCCTAACTAGTGGCATGTTCCTTGACCCCTAGCATGTCAAGTATTTTTGTTCTGTCAGACACCAGTTAAAAAGGAAAGATTTTTCTCCTTGTCCATCCCTATGTTCAAAGTAACAGAAACTAAAATGGGGGTTTTAGAGGAAATGCCTTACACCCTTCCAAGAGCCAGTCCCAACAGGGGCAACTGCAGCCCCCTGGGAATGACAGGATGGGAAGAGAAAAAGGGAAACATGGAGGGGAAAGCAGAGGTTTTATGCTTTGTTTTTTTGTTTTGTTTTTGTTGTTGTTGTTTTTTTGTTTTTTTTTTTTTTCAAAGCATGTCCACAGGTATAGCCTAAGGCCCAAATTCAATGGAAAAAAAAAAAAAAGAATAAAACATTCTTCATTCTTCATTTCAGGATATCCTAGCATGTGCTTTAGGACAGATGGAGACAATCAATGAATATATTTATAAACTTTATGCTTGAATTCCCTTGATTTATCTATCATCATTTCATTTTTAATCCTGGCTCTCTACTGTGTTTACTTTATTTGGATGTTAATCAGAGACCATTTTGTGAAAGCAACCAAGTGAGAGAGAATGGGAGACAAGGAATTAATTAGAAAATAAATAATTCATTCAAATGGTAACTTTAAAACACTTGTTTATCCCCAAAGCTAAAAGCATGAGTTTCAGACTCAAACACCTGTGGTTCAAAGCCTGGGTTCACTGGGTACTTTCAGAAAGACTTTGGAGGTCACCAAGCCCTGTTAGCCCTGCCTCCTCAACTGTCCAATGAGGAGAACAAAAGAATTCAAGAGTTGCTACTTCTCAGGAGTTGTCTGCCTGAGATCTTCTCCAACTCCCACTCACTCCTTAACCTGGTTACCTGGCTCTGTCCCTACCTCTGCACTATTTTCACCACTCGGCAGGACCCACCTACTGCCCAATCCAATGACTTCACTTTATGGAACCTCTTACTGACAGCTTTAAAGATCCTCACCCATCCTGCCTTCCCATTTCTTTCTCCTCTATCAATATCATGACCATCACAATCCTGGTTTTCCTCCTATATTCACAGCCTCATTTACTGGTCCCCTCTTTCAGTCTCTATCATTGCTGGGTTTGTATGATTCACCTAGGTGCTTCCCCAATCACACTCCTTCCCTGGTGGATGAGCCACTCCTGTGATTTTAAATACCTTCTCTATGTGAATAAGTGTAAAATCTCCATCTCTGACTAAAACTACCCATCATACTCTTGCTACATATGTGATATCACCATGTTTATGACTCATAGGTCTTTAAAACATATCATGTCCAATGAGGAACGCTAGTTTTTCCTTTCAAACCTAGTCTGCTCCAGTCTTCCCTATCTCAACATTACCATCACCCTATTTTAAAAAAACAAAAACCTAGTAGTCACTCTTTCCTTTCCTTAAATGCCACATTCTCTCCATCTGCAATTCTGTTAGTTCTATGCCAGAATAGTTCCAAAATCCTTCATCTTTCTCATCTCTACTTCCATAATTACCTCTCACCTGGCAAATACCTACCTGTTAGTCTCCTTGTATGCACCTGCACTTCCTTCCAACATATTCTCCATATGTGATTTTTTTTGCAAGTATATTAGATTACATCAGTCTTTAAATCTCTTTGATGTTTTCCCATTGGAAGGGAAGGAGGCCCTCCTAAAGCTCCCCACAGTTTACTGACCTGGCCTGTCTCTGGCATCCAGCCATGACCTATGCTACTCTTGCTCTTGTTCTGTTCCAGAGACATGACGTTCTGGCAGTTCCTACAACGTGTCAAGTGTTTCCTGTTGTTACTCCATAATTAAATGTTCTTCTCTGATTTCTCCCATGATTGGCTCCTCTTTCTCCTTTCCCTTGGCCTTTCTCAGGGGGAGTCCCTCATTTACTCTCTCATCATCATTTGTTTCACAGCTTTAATCACAACCCACAATATTTATTTTTCATTTACATGTTCATTGTCTGGAGTCCCTGACTAGACCAGAAGATGAATACGATACGGATATTGCTCCCATTTTATCTCCAAGGTCTAATGTGGCATCTGTCACATACAAGATGCTCAAAAAGATATTTAATGAGGATAAATAAGTGAGCACCTTGTGTCTTGGTAAAGATTAGAAAAACTAATGTATATAAAATGCTTAGCACAGTACCTGGTCCAGAGTAAAATTTTAATCGTCATGACCTTGTGGAAATAAGTAGCAGCAGCAGCAGTGTAGGGAGTTCATTACGGGAATTTAGCAGCTTCCTAATGCATACCTAATGCAGCTGCAAACCCCATGGCCTCAAAACCTGAGTTTCTTTCACTTCTCTTTTCTTATCTTTTTATCGTTCATGTACGATTAGTCACTGTATCTGTCCATACTTCCTTGCCAGTCTCTCTGAGAGTTACCTCCTCCTCTCCTAGCTGTCATTACTGTTATCCTCCATTCTTTGTGATTAGATTAACTGAGCAGACACTGCCTGTCTCCCTGTATGAAGTTCCTTACACCCTTCTTTCAGGGCCCAGGACATTTTACCCCCTCAAAGCACCTTCTCCAGCACGTTGCTCCTCTGATTAAGAAAGTATTGCAACTCTTGAATGTTTAGCCAAGCTCCTGGCACAGGTTCAAAGATTCCTCCTCCCTTATCCAACCCCCTCCCACAATTTCTCAAATTAGGAACTCATTGCACCCAAGCCAGATTCCTTACAGGCACACCCAATCCATCAGTACTCACCCCAGATGTGTGCCCATGTGACTGTCCTGCCAAGGATATGCTATCACCTCTTCTCTTAAGTCACATTCAGATTCCTTAGGGTCTCAGCTTAAAAGCCACTTCTGTCATGAACACATCTTCCAAGTACTCAGAATTCCAAAGCCTTCTACTCTTTGATATTTTTAAGACACGTCTTTCATGGCTATTGCTAAAATAAATTTAAGAAAAGAATACATTTGGATCAAGTAATTGCTTTGTAGGTCTATACAATTTATGACTCTCTTCCCTCCTTCAAAGCATAGAAACTGATATTTGCTCCCCAATCTTGTCTACACCTCCCAGACCTACCATAGCAGGAAGGCAAGGGTAGCTAAGATTTTATTGGACTACCACAAACAGTACCACAGTACTGTTTCAGTCACATTCACCTGAAGCAGGTCATTTAATCATTATAACAATATTGTGAGATAAGTAGAGATAAGTATAATTAACCTAGGGAACTAGGCTTGGCAAGGTTACATTCTTGCCCAAAGTTATACCGAAGTAGGAGGTAAAGCCTGGATCAAGACATCTATCGCTCTTACACGAAAGCCATGGGATTTCCTTTACATTACTCTTCATGTGGCTAGTGACCTAAAGACTCAGCCCTGAGGACACACAGGGAGATAGGCATGTAACCAGCCTGACTGCTTCTTGAACCCTTTATCACTGATGCTCCGGAGGATTTAGCTGTGTAGCACCCTGGAGGACTGAGTGCTCATCCTGTCCTGACTACCTCCATCCGAACACAGGACAGCCACACGCCTCAGCAGTCATCTGGTCCAGTCAGCACACCAGTAATGGGGGAAGGTTTTACCCTGCCCTGGGCATGTTACCTCCACATGAAGAGAGTTACACATCCCCTTTCACTTTCTTTTGAAAGAAAATTCATCCACCTTTCATTCTCTTTATCCTGGGGGCATTCACCTTTTCACCTTGAGCTCCAAAACATGTCTGTTTAGAGAACCTGCCAGAGTATTTGCCTACTTCAGGAAGGAGCACGGCAACAATTATCAACTATAATTGGTGTGGCCTTATAAAATCTACACTGGGCTTTCTAGGAACTGGCAGCGTGAGTTAAGGCTAGATTACACTGACATATGCAAAAAGAAGATACAGAGAGCCTGTGCTTTTACAGGAATCTGAGTCCAAGTCATGCTGAGGTTAACAACTACATGGTCACTAACCACAACTGTAGCACTTTCTAAATTTTCAGAGCATCAGAAAACACTCTGAAAACCAATTTTTATTTGTTTTCTTTACATATATTTTTACTTTTTTTTGGTGCAGTACTATACTAGAGATTGAACCCTGGGTCCAGGGTTGTTCTGCCACAGAACTATGTCTCCAGTCATTTGTTTATTTTGAGGCAGTGTCTGCTAACTTGCCCAAGTTACAATCTCCCTGCCTCCAAAGTTGCTGGCATGTGCCAGAGCAAGGCTTATCACCCTAGTTTTCAAAATCCTAAATCAATAGAGATTTTGGAGATTTTTTTTTCCATCACTTGCTACTCCTTTCGATGAAGATCTTAAAAACTAAAGAATTAGGGCTGGTGTTGTAGCTCAGTGGTAGAGCACTTGCCTATGTGTGAGGCACTGGATTCAATTCTCAGCACCACATATTTATAAATTAATAAATAAAATAAAGGTCCAGTGACAATTTAAAAAAATTTTTTTTAAATCTAAATAATTATTAGGATAAATAAGATACCAACTATCTTATTCTGTCTATATTGTTTTTTTTTTTTTTTGGGGGGGGGTTGCCCAAGACATACATAACTGTGTGCTTCCACCTCCACTGTGCAAGAAGACCCTTGCTTCCTCTGAATAGTATTCAATGTTAGCTAGATTAAATAGGGATAAATATAAAACTCATTTTCATTGTACTGCCAATTTGTTGAGTGACTTTAAGAAAAGCTATTAATGTTCCTATTTGCATTTTTGCAACCAAATATATATTCTCTGGCTGTTAAACCCCAATACTCCGTATATTTACTGTGTTGATTTTAAGCTCGTTAGTGTCTCACCCTGGTAATCACCTTTTCATACTCCACTGTGTGATGTGTGATGGGACTCTGAAAGCCACAATCTCTTTTTCTAATTGGCTCCCCATAGGTTCTACCCTTAGAATGTACCAGAGGGAGGATGAGAGGCTGGAAATGGAAGAAGGGACTGGCTCCTTTACTTCCCAGCAGTTGGTTCTAGTTTGGAGGCTTCTTCACTCTCAGCCCCATTACACCCACTCAGCAATACCCGACACAAGTCTGCAGGACTTGGAGAGGGGTGAACTCCTCTAAGTCCTGAGGTTCCAGATCAGGAGCAACTCTCTCTACTCAGAAGCCTGGCCCAGCCTCCAAGGTGCCTCCTCCAAAGGTGGGAGCTCCAACTCCTGCTCTTCTTTTCTCTGCCACAGGGGCCTTAGTTATTTCCTGGAATTACTATCATTCTGATCCTCAGTGTTCCCCTCTTGCCTTTTCAGTCCTCCAAAATCAATGTTCAGTGTTTAGTGATGTTGATTAAAATAACAGTAGGTTTTGTTCTCTGACAAAATCCTGAACTATTCCTCAGAAATCAGTTCTGCATAAGGTCTGTACCTACCCCTTCATAAGCTAATGCTCTTCCTGGCCAAGAGAGGCCTCTTCTGCTTCTCTGTGGGAATCTTTCCTCTCTTCATCCTTCTCTCCCTTCTCTTGCAAACATGCAAACACACACTCAGAAGCCACCGGAAAGATGATAGCTCTTTTAAAACAAAGGAAACATGGCTCTACAAAAAGCCTTAGCCCTAACCCAACACCATGCTTTCAATAAAATTTTATTGAGCATGTACCACATGTCAGGGCCGACACCAAGATGAAGGTCATATAGCCCTACTGTCAAGGAATTCACAGTCAAGAGAGTACTTGGAATTCCTTTCCCAATACAGAGGAAAGCAAAGACAACAGAGCTGAGATTCAGCCCAGATTACACTGGACATGAAGCAACCTAATCAACCCCAGGAACCAAAACTCTGTCCTCAGGAGCAGTGATCTGAGCTTCTGGTGTTTGTTAGGCACTCTTCAAGGGCACAGCACCCATCCTCAGCCTAAGTGTTCCTAGCCTTCTAATGTTCTCAGGCCAAAACATTTTAGATGATAAAAGATCTCCTCAAACAGTCCAGAGTTCATACTTTATATCAACTTCTATCCCCACCCCAACCTGAATAATATATCATGCCCTAAATTAGCTTATTTCATTTTACATCCTATGACATATGCCTTAAAAATTCTCCCTCTCTCTCTCTCTCTCTCTCTCTCTCTCTCTCTCTCACACACACACACGCACACACACATACACACACACACAGTAAACAAACACATAAACATATATTTTTTTCTTCTTTAATTTAAGAAACATCCCAATATCTTTGTCCTTTTCCTAATTCCATTCCTCTACCAGAGAACACAGTTCCATATGGAATAGATTTTCATTTCTTTGTACACAGGTCCAAATGAAATATCTTTCTATCCTACACACTAAGAACTGGGCGCTTCTGCTTTTTTTATCTGCATGGAGAAAATTTGAGTTGTTAAAAAAAATAAAAATAAGTTCTCACCTTTCTTCATTCCGTGTAATTACTGTACATGGAATGAAAAAAGGTGAGAACTTCATATTGTACATAGAATGCTTTTAGAGAAAAAAAACACAGTTATTTTTCTGGTCAGTTTTATTCTTACTTCCCTTTTCTAGATAAGACATAGCTGAGTTCCTTTAGGCAGCAAAATTACTGCCTGCAGGACTTGGCCAGAAGTCAGTTTGCAATCAGCCAGTCACAGCTTCCAAAGCCATCCCTGTCTGGGGATGTTGTGAATACATTCCAGGTGTCTTCTCGGTTCCCATGCTTGTTAGTCCTTAGAGAAACAGCCCCACCAGTGCTTCAGGCAGCCATCAGGCTACTATAACTAAAAAGCCTGCAGCTGCCTCTGCCTTCTTGGCTACACTCCTGGGGGCCTGATGCAATCAGGGAAGAGTGAGTATGTTAATGCCCTTTTCTCTGTGCCCGGTATATCATCATTGTAACTGGCCCCATTTGTAGTGTTGCTATTATGGGAAAGTCACTGTGTTTACATACATTAATCTCTAATGATCCCAGTAACCCTCCAAAGTAAGTATTACTACTGTTCTCTGTTTATAATGTGAAGAATTAAGGGTTACAGACAGTAAATAATTTGTCAAGGGCATTCAGATTACAACTGACACAGACAGTGTTCAGGTCAGATATATTTGGCTCTCTGCCCTAAGCTTAACACTGGCTGTCTGTTTTATAAATTAATTTCATAAACTCCATCACTGAACTATGCAGTGTTAGCAGTGCAGGCAAAAACAGAGTTCAGTGATGTTGATTAAATTTAACTAATTTTTGTTGTCCCCTTTATAAAAAGACCATTACCTAAAAGCAGCACAAAATTCTAGGCTTCTTGTCACTCATACTCATTACCTACAATTATTAATGCAGAAATGTGTTTCTCAGCCAGAGGTATAAATAGACTCCTCTACAGTATTATTATAAAACTATCTGGGAGGAATATAGTTGGTGGGAAGATAAAGGCATGTCCCTAACTCAAACACACACACACACACACACACACACACACACACACAGAGAGATTTAAGTGATTCAGTTATGAATCCAAGGACAAGTCCCATCAAAAGGAGAGATACACTGATATAAAAAAAAAATACTCACCAGCAGGTAAATTCCATTTGACATGTGAAATACATGGGCAAGCACAGTTCTACTAAACAAATCCACCAAATTGGAGTCAGAGAAAAAAAGAATTGCAAGGATCCCTGGAAATTATTTAATAATTTCCATATAGTAAACTTAGCCTCTTAATGAATCACTTCATCAATTTTTCAGCAAACATTAAAATTTTTGATATTCCAAAAATTAATTGATAGCAATTTTTCAAAAATTTTTAATATATTTAGGCTCTCCACCCCCTCCTCCTTCATTTTTTTCTTCTTCAATGGAAAAGTAAAAAGATTCCTCCCTACTAGACTTCTTTATTCACACATCAAAAGTCTACACTTTTCAAGATGTTTTCTATCTGTATTCCTCAAGAAGATTACTTTTAAAATAGTATGCTCAGGATTCTGAATATGTTGCAGAAAAAATATTAACCAACCTCTATTTGCTCTTTGATACAATTATGTTCAAAGCTTATTAGTTCTTTGTAGACAGACATTTTAAACATTTAAGTGAAAAAAAAAATCCCTGGGTGAAGGGTGGTTCTAAGTCCATATCCAATGAGATCTTGGTGCTTTTTTCCCCCAGCTTCATTCAGATATGGACAGAGGAGATGGATCCATCAAATATATCCTTTCTGGAGAAGGCGCAGGCATAGTGTTTACCATTGACGACACCACTGGTGACATCCATGCCATTCAGAGGCTTGATCGAGAGGAAAGAGCCCAATACACTTTAAGGGCTCAAGCACTGGACAGGCGGACAGGTCGACCAATGGAGCCAGAGTCAGAGTTTATCATCAAAATACAAGACATCAATGACAATGAGCCCAAGTTCCTAGACGGACCTTATGTTGCCACTGTGCCAGAAATGTCACCAGTGGGTAAGGTGGTGATTCACTAACTTTCACAAACAGCAAATGCATTATGGGGGCAGGTGGTGGGGATGCAGAAAAGGAGACAATGCACAAGGCAGCTCACAAATTACAAAACTGAACCCAAAATGACAACTAAGTCCCTTGGCAGAGAGCAAGCTACTTAGGCATATAATCAGTCACAGTAAATAATAAGAATGAATTGTTTTCCAGCTCTGATTCTTTAAAAACAAAAGAATAGATTGGCACGTACATACATGCGTGTGTATGTGTGTGTGTGTGTGTGTGTGTATTTGATTCATAAGGGGGAAGCATTTTGCTATTATCAAAAAACAATGAAGACCCAAAGATTGACTGGTTACTAAGAATTTAAACACAATAATTATCATTTTGTAAAACAAGTACAAGGTAGGAGTTAAGGAAGCCTGACCTAGAAAGGGGACTCTGCCTATAAAGCAAACATAATATCTACAAATGCTCTAAGACTGACTCAGGATTGCATCAAGTTTTTAGCAGGTCTCCTTCTTTTCCTCAGGTACTTCTGTTATCCAGGTGACAGCCACAGATGCTGATGACCCGACCTATGGCAACAGTGCCCGGGTGGTGTACAGCATTCTCCAGGGTCAGCCATATTTCTCCGTGGACTCCAAAACAGGTATCTGATTCAAGAGTCAATTCAGAGGTGTTTGCTTTTTTCACAATCCTTTGCAACCACTACTTAGGACAGACCCAACTCTCTTTCTCAAGAATTCTCCAGGGAGTGTGTTAACCAGAAAAGATTTGTTATAAGCTTTAGGATTAAGAGAGCAAACTAGCATTGCCCTGTGGGTGAGAGCAGCACGATGCATACACAGTGTGCAGGGTGATGAGAAAGGCAAAGTATCTTACTAGCCTCTATAAAGTTCATGGATATATTTATTCCCAGGGGCTAAAGTCTGTTATAACTTTAATAAGATCCAAGAGGACACACACATTCACCTGCACTCACTCTAGAATCAGACTCTGAAACCAGAAAGAGTCATTGGGGAATGGTCCAGTGCATTGCCATCTACTTAACAGATAAGGAAACTGTGAAATCAAGAACCACATTCATCTGGTTATGGATATGTTCCTTGACATGTGATCTGATATTCTTTCCACTAAACCATCCTGTACTAAAGAGAACACAAGGCCAGAATTAGTTGCTTCTGGGCCAGACAGGTTTTGATGATGGAGGAAAGAGCACATAGGATGTGGCCCTAAAGAAAGACAGATTCTTTATTTTTTATTTATTTATTTATTTTTTAATTTTTATTGTTGGCTGTTCAAAACATTACATAGTTCTTGATATATCATATTTCACACTTTGATTCAAGTGGGTTATGAACTCCCATTTTTACCCCGTATACAGATTGCAGAATCACATCAGTTACACATCCATTGATTTACATATTGCCATATCCATTTTTAAAAAAAATAAAATATTGCATTAAAATTTAAAAAAAAAATATGTTCTTTTGGTAACTGTTCAGACCCAAGCATAATACTAGGAACATCACACACACACACACACAAAAAAAAAAAAAAAGAAAGAAAGAAAGACAGATTCTGATAGGCAAGTTCTAGTAGGGAAATAAGCAGAGATAAGTGAATGAGTAAGGAGCAATATGGCAGGAAAGGACACATGTGTTGGACAAACCAACAGGATTCCCTTAAATATATTTGAGTTGGGTAGGGTAATTTTTATATCATTATTAGCTTACCCTATGCCAGGTCTTCTCTCTTTTAAAATACTTTCATAAACATTACTATACTTGAGTCTCCCAAAAATCTTGTGAACTAGTGAAATACGTAGGAAGTATTTTACTCCCATTTTACATAGGGCAAAACAGAGACCTAAGAGAAGGAAATGAGTAAAGAAACTTAAGAGTAACAGAGGTAAAGTCAATGCTGAATACTCAAAGTCATCTCTTTTATTTGAAAGAAAAAAATATTTCTATTATTAGCAACCTGATAGAATTTTTTTGCCCAGAAGTCCTAAAAGTAACCAGGCATTCAGAAAACTGTATCATAAAAGCAGAAAACAAAGGAGCATAAATTACTAGAAGGAAAGGAAAAGACCACAGTTAGGGACTTCTGTAAAACAGTTAACTTCAATAATTCTGCTAACAGGGAGAGAGAGGATGAAGGGGTGGCCACAGGGAGGAAAAATACAGGCAGGAGGAGGGTAATGTGTCCTTTATATCCTAAGAAAAATCTTATATTATTTTGACAGCTCCCAGGGGGCATAGTGTTAAGGTCAAAAATACATAAAAAGATAGTTACTGCTGTGCCCATGAGGCATTTAAAATATATATTTTTTAAATATATATATATATATTTAAAATGTTGTTCTTACTAAATGAATAAATACATTACAGGAGTAAATTGGGGACAGGTGTTTTCCCAATCCCCTCCCTTTTCACGGAAGAGATCCATTTAGCCAAGGGTCATGTCATAAACCTGCAGCAAATATGCCCTTAATCTTTGCCTCCAATGCATAGAAATCAACTTTTCCAAGTTGAAAGGTTAAAAAGGAGATACAACAGTACTGTACATCCTGGCCAGGATCAAAACACATTTCAGTGGATTTCCTTTAGACCCCTCTTCTTAAATGAAACCTTATCATCACACTGCTATGCTGCTACTTACTATCTGGGGAACTTCATTTTCATACAAGGTAAAAATAAACAACTTGCAGAGCATCTTTTATGTCCAAGCTCACAGAATTCAGTGAAGCACAGAGGTAAGAAGAAAATAACAAAACAGAATAAATATATAACAAAAGGAAAATCAAATGAGAATTCCAATACTACTTACAGGTAGTGGGAAGGCAGGAAAAGGCAGAACAGGAGCAAGTTATCTAAAAAGAGTTATTCACATTACAAGGGCTCTAGGGGTTGAAGAGAGAAACAGCTGAATGAGAATTATCTAAAATCACAGATGTGTAGACATATGAGGCTTTGTTTTCTGAACTCAAAGCCCCAGTTTTCTTTGGTGAGACTGAGCAGTCTGAAATCTCCTTGAACTGCAATTCCCCTAGTGGTAAGAGGACCATTGCTGCCATCTCCCGTTCTCTTTTGGTAATGTCACCACCAAAGGAAACCAGCTGTTCTTCTGCTGAAACAGTACATTTGTTGCAGAGAAACTTTTTTGAAGCAGGAATTTTTACCTTGAGTTTCATAAAACAGGTGACATACATCTCAACTCTGGGCATTTACCATGCACAAGGGAGAAATCTAAAAGTGAATCTTTTAAAAACTGCACTTATGGTTTTGTTTTTAAAACAAAGTCATTTCTATCCTGCAGGTGTAATTAGGACAGCGCTCATGAACATGGACAGAGAAGCCAAAGAGTACTATGAAGTGATTATACAAGCCAAGGACATGGGAGGGCAGCTCGGGGGATTAGCTGGGACCACAACAGTCAACATCACCCTCTCGGATGTCAATGATAACCCACCCCGCTTCCCCCAGAGTGAGTACCTAACCAACCAGAACCCATAGGGATGCATCTTTTACAGAAATGCAGGAGAAAGGACAGCATGTTAAATGCAATCATTCTTGGATTTCTTCCCTATACTCATTGTGCAATTCTTTTTTTTTTCTTTTTAGTTATACATGACAGTAGAATCTATTTTGATGTATTTATACAAGCATGGACTATATCTTATTCTAATTAGGATCCCAGTCTCGTGGATGTACACAACAGTGAGATTCACTGGGGTGTAATCCCATATGTACATAGAAAAGTTGTGTCAGATTCATTCCACTGTCTTTCCTATTCCTAGGCCCCTTTTTCCTTCCCTTCATTCCCCTTTGTCTAATCGAATGAACTGTTCTTCCCCCACCCCTTATTGTGGGTTAACATACACATATCAAAGAGAAAATCAGATCTTTGGTTTGGGGGATTGACTTATTTCACTCAGAATGATAGTTTCCAGATCCATCCATTAACCAGAGAATCTCAAAAAGT